CGGTCTCGCCCCTGTTATTTGTCATCGCAATGGACGTGTTGTCGCGCATCATGATCAAGGCCGTCAATCTTGGCGTTATCAGCAAGCTTCCCGGCATCGCAGCACATCAATTAGTGTCTATCTATGCAGACGATGTTGTTATGTTCCTAAAGCCCCTGGCGTTGGACCTCGCATTCGTTAGGATGATGCTATAGGTGTTTGGCGAGGCTTCTGGCCTGAGGATCAACTACCAAAAATCCATGGCCATAAGGATCCATGGGGACAATAGTGACAGTGTTCGGGTGGAGTCCCTATTACAGTGTCGGCTGGGCAATTTCCCTTGCAAATACCTCGGCCTTCAATTGGCCATTAAGCAGCTTTCGAGGGCTGACTGGCAGCCCATGCTTGACCAAGCCAAGAGCTTCGCCCCCGCTTGGCAAAGGGGCCTGATACACCGGCCTGGACGATTGGTGCTTGTCAAGTCCGTGATCGTGACCAAACCTATTCACCATTTCATGGTCATTGAAGCTCCGGTTTGGGTTTTGGAAGAGATTGAACAATGGATGCGATCGTTCTTTTGGGCCGGCAAAGAGAAAGTGAACGGTGGACAATGTCTTGTGGCCTGGAGCTTGGTGTGTAAACCTACTTGGCTTGCTGGGTTGGGTGTTCGTAATCTCCAGCTACAGGGGCTTGCCTTGAGAGTTCGGTGGGAGTGGCTTCGTAGGACTGATCCAGACAGGCCTTGGCAAGGTTTGCCGATGGCGGTGGAAAGAGAGGCCTGGGAGGTGTTTGACAGCATGGTGCATATTTCTGTGGGAAGGGGCAGCAAGGTCCTGTTTTGGAGAGACAGATGGATTCATGGCTTTGCGGTTAAGGACATCGCGCCACTCATTCATGCTCAAGTGGACACACGTACGATTAATCGACGTACGGTTGAGGAAGGTCTACTGGAAGGGCGATGGTTATTCGATATCAGTGGAGATGTAAACTTTGTCGGCCACATGCAACTATTGCACCTCAACCTTGCGCTAAGCACAATCATTCGTGATCCCGCCAGTGAAGACCGTTTTTCTTGGCCGGCTGACCCTTCCGGAGTTTATACGGCGAAATCCACTTATAATCGGCTTTGTCAGGGCGCTGAGAGGCCCCCCTACGCCACTTGCATCTGGAGAAGCTGGGCTATCCTTAAGTGTAAAATCTTTGCGTGGTTGGCCGTGCAACACCGGATTTGGACATCTGACAGAAGAGCTAGGCATGGTCTCCAAAGTGCTCCGTCCACTTGTTTCACGTGTTTGCAAGACGAAGACAATACAGAGCACATTCTCATTCAGTGTGTCTATGCCAGGGAAGTGTGGCACTACATGTTCGAGGAGCTGAGCTTGAGGGGCTCTATCCCTACTCAGGTAGACACTTTACTTGAGTGGTGGTTGACCACGAGATCTAACTTCAGGAAAGGCCAAAAGCGTGGTTTTGATACGGTAATCATAGTGACCATTTGGGCTCTCTGGAAGCAGCGCAACGCCAGAGTCTTTCATCGGTTAAACCAGTAGAAGACCGCGTCGGAATTGGCGCGTGCCATCGTTACAGAGCTCAAGAATTGGAGACTAGCTGGTTTAGGTGGAGGAGGTTTCGGATCGTTTTGTGAGAGTGTAGGCATAGGCTAGTTCGGTGGGTGTGTTAGGGTGTGCGTTCCGCTTTGGAAGCCTTACTTCCATTCTTGTATTGTGACTTTTGCTCTCTTCTTCTATAAAATTAAGGTACGCTTTTGGCGTACTCTAAAAAAAAGACCGCACTAGGTTCGGAAGAGTAGAAGAGAGTGCAGACGAGGAAAGGAGAAGAAGATGGTCCCTCTTTCGATCCACCATGCGAGGAACTTCTGTTCATATCCATTTGGGGGTGACAAATGGCATTGTAGATGTTGATAGTTTAATTGTTTTTAGTTTTATGATATTTTATGTTATTTTTGTCACTATTGGATCATAATCGAACTGAAAAGAAAAAGAAAAAAAATGTCTATTTTACTACCCGAAGAAACTTGATGGTTCACATAACCCCCTGATGTTTATTTGGGTTCTCTTAACACCCTCAACAATACCAAACCGGTCAAAAATCGTTCCTAACTGGTTTGCACTGGCTGGTTGCTGACTTAGACATGGTCAACAACGGTATTTGACCACGGGAGCCCAAGGCCCACACACCACCAAGCCTCTTCCTCTTCCCATTTCCTGTCTCGTCGCCGCCAGAAATAGGGCAGTGCCTTCGACGTGCCAGATCCCGCAGGAACACCCAGCCATGCGGCCCTGGCTGCCCCCTCTCCCTCTTCCTTCTCCCGCAAGACGCCAGCTGTGCGTCGACCGCACGTGCGTCGGCTCGCCTGCTCGCGCCCTGTTGTCGTAGCGTCGTCCTGCTCTGCTGGCCCATCGACCCTGCCACCAAGTCGTTGCCCTATTCCCCTAGTGGCCCTTGCTGCCGCCTCCATGCTCATGGCTGGCCACCTCTGGTCGATGGGAGACTACAACCCCTCATGCCCAACGTTGCTCCGCCAATGGTCGACGGTACTAGTCACGCCGCCGCCACAAAGCTTGTCGTTGTACCGTCTTCACATCACCGCCAAACTCCAGATCCGGCCGAAACCAAACCAGATCGGCCCGGAACCAGAACAAATCAGGTTGCCACCCTCGGATCTGGCCGCCCCTAGCCTCCCTGTGCCACATGTGTCGCTGCAGCGCTATCGCCGTTGCTACATCCGGGCCTTCTGTAGCAACTCCCTGTCGTTCGCGCCCTCTCCAGTCAGCCGCGCCACCACAACCCCCTAGGGTGCCGCCGAGAGACATTGATGGGTCACTCGCAAGGGGGGGCCACTGGTCAAATACCACCATTGACCATGTCCACGTCAGCAACCAGCCAGTGCAAACCAGTTAGGGACGATTTTTGACCGGTTTGGGATTGTTGAGAGCATCTCCAGCCGCGCCCCCAGAACGGCCTCCCCGGATGTTTTTTTTTGCGCCGGTGCCAAAAAACGGCCCAATCGCGCCCCAGGAGCCCTTTTTCGCCGGCTTGGGCCGAAATCAGCGCCGGCGAACCCAGGCCGAACCCGACGCGCTGGGGGGCGCCCGGGGTCGTCGGGGCGAGTGGTTTTGGCACGAAACAGCCGCGGGCCCGCCGAGTCAGCGAGACGGGCAATTCGTCGTCCTCATTGCCTCGGTTCCCGCGGGAATCAATGCCAAGGCTACAGCGCTGCCGCCGCCGGTCAGCCTTGCCATTGATTCCTCATCACGGGCGGCGCGTCACGGGGCGGCGCGGCGACGCCTCCCCTCCCACCTTGCGTACACACGGGCGCGGCTATATAAACCGGTGGCCTCCCTTGCCTCTGGCCACACCCTCCCTAGCCGCCGAGCTCTCCCTCTCCCGTGCACCGCCGCCGAGCCCTTCCTCTCCCTCCATTTCCCTCACCCCGACACCCAATGGCCGCACGTTTCCCCAGCGACGCGGCGGCGGCCAACGGCTTCGGCCAGCGCTCGCTCCACGAACAGGAGTCGTGGCCCCTGTTCGAGGCCAACATCCCGGTGCCGTCGGACATGCGCGCCGGGCCGACGGGGTGGAGGCTCAACAACGGGGGAGTGCCCGTTCCCGTTGCACGACGCCGAGGCGCGCCCCCTACTTCGCCGCCAAGGTCGACCTCGTGCGTGCCTCCCTCACCAACAAGCAGCGCGCCCTCCCCCGGTACGCCGCCGACAACCACGCGGCGTGGGCGGCGTACTTCGAGCGCCGTCAGGAGCAGAGGCTGGCGTCCACCAACGGGGCGCCGGTGGTCGGCAGCGTGAAGAACAACGAGGGCCGCCGCGTGTGGTGGGGCGCCCCCGGCCGCACGCTCGAGGGCGTGCTGGCGTACCTTGAGGGTGGCAACGAACGGCCGCTGGCATACCCTCCGGCGGCCGCCCCGGCCCATCGCCGACGCACCGGGCAATGGATGCCCAGGAGGTTCGGCTCCTCCTCGTCTTCCTCCTCGCGCTCTTCTTCCCACTCCTCCGGCTCTCCGGCGTTGCTCGGCGTCAAGGCCGAGCCTGCGGCGGAGACGCCGCTCGGCTGGCGCACTCGCAGCGCCGGCATCATCATCAACGAGGGCGGCCAACGCGCCTCCTCGTTGGCTCCACCGCGCTTCGTCAAGCCAAAGACGGAGCCGGGGCTCGCGGCCGTGAAAACCGAGCCGGGGCTCCCCGCCGTGAAGACGGAGCACGGCGACGTGGAGCTCGACGACGAGGCGGCCTTGAAATGGGCGCGCAAGGACTACCTGAAGATGGAGATGGAGCGCCAGTGCGCCGCCCTGCAGCGCTTCGAGCGGCGCCGCCGGGGCCGCGGCAAAGGAGGCGTCGTCGTCCTCGATGACAGCGATGCACCGCCACCGCCACCAGTCCGCCATGGCGACGCCGGGCAGGGGTTCAGCAGGGACGGCCGTGTCAAGGAGGAGAAGGCCACCGACAACGGCGGCGAGGATGGCAGCGACGACGGCGACTACTCCGCATTCAGCGATTTCTTTTTTTTAGATAAATTTGATATGTACTCCGCGTCTAATATTTGCCAATGTTTGCCGAATTTTAGTCGTGTTTTAACCGAACTTCGCCGAATGTTTTTTTTTCAAATTAGACGCGTCTGAGGGCGGCCCTGGGGCCGGCGACTGGGCACCAACTCGCCCCCAAGCCGTTTGTTCGCGCCGGCTCGCCCCCAGACGGTGATTTTACGCGTCCCCTGAGGGGCCAACGGCTGGAGATACTCTGAAGGAGGCGAGGGAACCGAAATAAACATCAGGGGGTTATGTGAACCACCAATCTTCAGGATAGTAAAATGGACATTTTTCAAAAAGAAGGCATACAAATTCCAGTCACCTTACACATAGTCGCCGCCAAAGGGACATCATGGATCCTAGTGATGTTTATACTTCGTAATATTATCACAAAATCTTGAAAAATATATTTAGTACAATACACAATCCATTCCCTTCATTATTCAATACTCATGAAGTCTCAGGTAACGAGGGGGCTGAGATTCGCCGACTTTATCTTAGCTGATTTACGGCCATCGACATGCGGGGCGGCAAACTTGCTGACCCACCTGTCATTCGCTCAAAGTGAGGTAGGCGCTGTACTGAAATGGCCTTCGGCGGTGTAAGATCTAAGGCGATGAACAAACTCGTCAACGTACCTCTCCTGCCGCTCCGTATTAGCTACGACCTCCTGCATTTTCGCTGCACCTGCCACGAAGCTCCTCCGGGCATCTCCGTCAACCATCACAGCCCGGATCGCGCTCGCGACGCCATGGCGGTCGAACGATCCGTCGTCCTCGTTCCTCGCCACCTGCAACCCCACCTTCTTCACCTCCATCTGCCGCGCGTTCGGCCCTTGGTCCCCGAAGATGGGCAGCATGACGAGCGGATGCCCGAACAGGAGGCCCTCGATCAGTGAGTTCCGGCCGCAGTGCGTCAGGAACCCGCCCACGGCGGCGTGCGCCAGGATGCTCATCTGAGGAACCCACCCCGTGGTCACCAGCCCCTGGCCGCCAGTGCGCTCTTGGAAGCCGGGAGGAAGCATGTCGGCGTCGTCGTCGTGGACTGCTGCGCCGCTGGGCTTCCTAAGAGCCCAGAGGAAGCGTGTCCCGGCGAGCTCCAGCCCGAGGGCAAGCTCGTGCACCTGCTCCACACGCAGCGGCACTTCACTCCCCAGCGCTACGTACACAACCGAACCTGCAGGCTGCGCGTCCAGCCAGCGCACGGTGGCATGCTCTGCTGATCCGTTGATGCCGTCGGCACGGCGGCCTCCGTCCGGTGACGGCGGTAGAAGGCCGAGGGGCACGACCGGCAGGCCGATGACCGTCGGCACCAGCGGGAAGGACTCGGGCTCCCACTCGACGCAGCTCCGGATGGCCGCCAGCGCACACTTCTCTTTCGTCAAATAGAAGCGCTGGACGATGGACATGCCCGACGCGCCATGGTCGTCGTAAATTGGTGCCACCTCCTCCTCCTCGTAACGAGGGCGGGCGTGGGTCACAACCCGCGCTTCCGCCGGCTGGTCGCGGTGCGCGGTAGCGATCAAAGCCGCGGTCGGGAGAAGTAACGCGCATGGGACCTGGTGAACGATGGAGCATCGAGCAAGATTTGAGATATAGTCCTAGTACATGGGATGGAATTAGTGGAACGAAGCGGCGACAGCGCACGCAGATCTGCCGAACCTTGTGCTCGAAGGCGGCGGCGGCGACCCAGTGGTGGAAGCAGTCGGCGATGACCCAGTGAGGCCTTGTGGCCTCGTCGGCGCACGCGGCGGCCATGAACGCCGCGAAGGGCGCGGCGAGGCCGTCGAAGGCCTTGAAGTGGAGCTCCCGCTTGTCGTCGGGCACATCGTTGGTGGATTCGGCACCGTCGGGGAGGCCGTCGACGCGCGGGAGCGGGAGCGCGACGAGGTCCACGCGCGGCGCCGCGGCGGAGCGCAGCGTAGGGAGGCGGGCGAGGTTGCGCGGCGTGGAGACGTAGGACACCCGGTGGCCGCGCTCGGCGAGCCGCTCGGAGAGCTCCAGGTACGGGAGCAGGTGGCCGAACGCGAGCCACGGGACGACCACGATGTGCAGCGGCGAGGATGAGGAACCGGCGTCCATGGCGCGATCAGGAGCAAGGTCTTGATCAGGAGCTGGACTTGCCGGCGGGGAGCGGCGACTGGCGACTGGTGGTGCTCAGGCTCAGCGCTCTGCTCCCGCCGTGGCTATCGACGCACGAAGTATTTTACTGGTGGTCAAACAGGAGCGTGCTACTTGCTCTCCACGGTGCACGCCATGTGAACTTCTTTTAGTCTTTGGGATTTGGAAACACCCATGCCGACGCACGTAGAGAGGCGACATATTTGATCTGTATCCATGATGTACCAATCAACTGTGAATAAATATGTACAGAGGCGGCATATTATAGTTGATCCGTATCCACGATCCATGATATGTATCCTCATCTGAAGTACAAGCCACCGACCCCTTGTTGTGGAGTTTTCTCGGAACATTATATATTTTTACCTTTAGTTGAGTTAGCCCGTGGGTTTTGCCTTTACTTTTTGACTTGAGTTTTGCCTTTAGATTTGTCTCTAAGGTCGTCCGAGTGCCATTTCACCGTTTAACCAATACTTTAACAAATTCATAACAAATACTCCCTCCGTTCCTAAATATAAGTCTTTTTAGAGATTTCACTATGGATTACATGCGGAGCAAAATGAGGGAACATATACTCTAAAATATGTCTACATACATTCGTATGTAGTTTGTAGTGGAATCTCTAAAAAGACTTACATTTAGGAACGGATGGAGTATATAGGAACTCGTAAAAATGCAAATAAGATATTAAAATGTTCAGAAAAACATTACCTTTATGTGCATGTCATTTGCATTCAGGAAAAAAGTACTGTTTAGACTACCCGAGGATATTAATGTTATTAACACTATTAACCGAAAAAGGTATAAGCAATACTTTTTCATGCACAAAAATCACATGCAAATATAGGTGATGTTTTTTTTGGACATTCTGATATCTTATTTGCATTTTTTGAGTTCATACGAATTTGTTATGAATTTTCAAACAACTTTGATCATTACTTTGAAAATTCCTATCAAGTTCATATGAACTCAGAAAAATGCAAATATGATATCAGAATGTTTAGAAAATATCACCTATTTTTATTCATGAGAAAGTATTGTTTATACCTTTTTATGCTTAATGATGTTAATAAGATTAATAACCTCGGGTAGGTTAAACAATACTGTTTTACTGAATGAAATTGCATGCACATAAAGGTAATGTTTTTTCTTAACATTTTGATATCTTACTTGCATCTTTATGAGTTCATATGAATTTGTTATGAATTTTCAAATTATTATACAAACGGTTAAAGGGCACTTGGATGACCACGGAGACAAATCTAAGGTCAAAACTGAGTAGAGTCGAAAAGTAAAGGCAAAACCCATGGGGTGGTTCGGACAAAGGGCAAAAATGCATTTGACCCTTTTTTCTTATGAGATGTTGTGGAGCCTTGACTAACCAAAAATGGCTAGAAATGACTATAATTTTTTGTTTTGATTGAAGGCACAATCATGATGGTTCCTTTCGGACCCAGAAGCTGGTACAAATCAACTCTGAACAAACTTTGAATTAATAGAAAGTGTTTACATTTAAGATATTTTAATGTCATTTTCAAGGTTTTTTATCCCAAGAATTAAGTTCAAAACTTTTCCGAAACTTAAAACATGTCATAATTTCACACTCAAAAATCGAATAAAATATGTGCACTCAAATTTAAATTGTTATTTTGTATTCAGAGTACTTCATTTGTGAATAAACATATCGTTCCTTTATTGTGATTATAGTAGAGTAAATCAAATTTTAATTTTCAAGACACACAAGACGTCAAGTCTAGAGTTTAAACCTGGTGGGCAAGGCTCAGTCATCACCTCTGTACCCACAAGCTAGTATTGGTTAACAAAAGTGCGTGTGGCACATATTCTAAAACAAGGACTACTAACAAACTTTTAATTAGTAGAAAGTGTGCCTATTCAAAGTAAGATTTTGACATTTTTTTTACTTATGAGGTTTGCAATCCCAAAAAATGCGGATATTGGGACTGTGATTATCAATTGTGTTTGGTATGTAAATCTTTTTTATGCAAATAAACATGATTTCCCTTTATTGAGAGTATTTTTTAAATCTTTAAAATCATATTTAACTTCTATATTAAAAACATATGACCTATAAAATTGAAAAAACAACAATATAAATTGATGGTGATTTTAAATTAAGCTTTCATGTTTATAGTTTCGACCTTTTAAGGTCGTTTCATACTCGTTGGAGCACATTTTTTAGCATTTACCCCCGAAAAGGCGGGTCAACCCTGTGCTCCACATCGATCGCTACACACAACCATCTCTTATTTCTAAATGTGAAGTCCAACAGGAAGTCATAAACACGAAAAAAACTAGGCCATCGCAACCAAAACATCATACATGACACCCTCATGCTCCACTTTCATTGGAGCACATACATTAAGCATGCTACAAATGTTAAATGGAAGTGGAATGACCAAATTTAATGTAAAAATACATAATAAATATGCCTGTGAAATGCGAAAGACAACATGTGTAGCCTAAATTCTTTGAATTGATCCATTCAGACAACTCGGTTCGAGTGAATTTTTCTTCGAGCATCAGGTTCACACAGAAAGGATTGTCGAGAAAGTATAAATGAATGGTCGTCGTCACATCTCTGGGCCGACATCTCGTACACGATGCTACACCCCTTAGTCGGCTAGCTCTCTCTCCTTTGAAGCACTCACAAGAACACCCGCTACCAACACCGAAGACTGAGGATTGCCAAAAAGCACCTCCAATATTTGTGACAAACTTTTTGCTCATATAAAGTCCCTCATTATGCTAAAACATCATACCTTAAGCCAATCCAAGTGGCCGGAGAGACACAACGAGAAACTCGGACTTTTGGTTTCCACTTAAAAAATTTCATGCACCAATACCTAGTCGCCACAACACATCACTCATAACAAATTAACAGGCGCCTAAAGAAGCAAAGGAAGAGCATGTGTCGTGGAATTGTCATGGCAGATGTCCTAGTGTGAGGACTTAGTTGTGGAGCCATCGCAACTAGGTTACCTTAAAGGGGTTAAACAGGACAAAGGACACAGGGAGTTTATACTGGTTCGGCCCCTTGCAGTGAAGGTAAAGGCCTAATCCAGTTTGAGGTGGTATTGCTTATGTCTCAATTACCAGGGAGCGAATCCGCTTGACTTAGCTTTCGATCTCTTGTTTCTTGCCCTGAATCGTCGCCGGGTCGTCCCTTTATATACACAGGTTGACAACGGCTCACGTAGTCTCGGACGGCTCATAAACAGCGTGTCCGGCTCGGTGACTAAATATACTTGCCTTGCAATATAAGTCATACACATATGGCGGTTAACCCCTACGGGCCTTAAGTCGCCTTTGGGCTTTGGGCCCTTAGCAAGTCTACTTCATGAACCGCCATCTTCAACATCTTCATGGGCTTTGTATTGATGAACCGCCATTGGTATAACTCGGCCCCTCCTGGGCGGGTCATACCCAATAGTCATATTCCCAACATTAGGCCTCAGATTGATTTAAACTTGTTCATGTCAATCTTCAACACTTAGAAAAATTCTTCTTCCTTTATTCTTGCGAGATCTCATAACCCGCCATGACGTCACCTCCTACGATTTTGGTAACCCGCCATGATGTCACCTGTCATTAATATTACGCAAAGCCTAAATCTTAATAAATCTTTTCTTTTAATGATGCTCCAAAAATTGAGGCGTCTGCGCCGTCACATATTCATTTTTTGGTCTCCTCGATTCCCGCGCATGTCACTTATCCTTCTAGCCTGATAATAAGGGCCAAGGGTTCCTTTTCACTCTCCCCCCTCTGCCTTCTCGTCTTCAACCTCGCGACGCATCTGCGCATCTGAACACTGCCACCGACCTAGCCAAATTCCTCGACTCCGACCGTTGCATCGACCTGAACGAGACCAGAGAAACGCGACACCTCTCCGTTGCTCAGCGGACCCAGTAAGCATCTTAACTTCCCCGCCATAGATCTCGGATACGTCTCCAACGTATCTATAATTTTTTATTGTCCCATGCTATTATATTACCCGTTTTGGATGTTTATGGGCCTTACTATACACATTTATACCATTTTTGGGACTAACCTACTAACCGGAGGCCCAACCCAAATTGCTATTTTATGCCTATTTCAGTATATCGAAGGAAAGGAATATCAAACGGAGTCCAAACGGAATGAAACCTTCGGGAGCGATCTTTTTGGAACAAACACAATTCAGGAGACTTGGAGTGGACGTCAAGAAGCAGTCGAGGAGGCCACGAGGGTGGCCAACGCGCACTAGGGGGGGGGGGCTGCCTCGTGGGCCCCTCGTGGCTCCCCTGACCGACTTCCTTCGCCTATATATATCTATGTACCCTCAAAACATCCAGGAGCACCACGAAACACTTTTTCCACCGCCGCAACCTTCTGTACCCATGAGATCCCATCTTGGGGCCTTTTCCGGCGCTTCGCCGGAGGGGGAATCGATCATGGAGGGCCTCTACATCATTGCCAAGGCCTCTCCGATGAAGTGTGAGTAGTTTACCACAGACCTTCGGGTCCATAGTTATTAGCTAGATGGCTTCTTCTCTCTCTTTGAATCTCAATAGAAAGTTCTCCTCGATCTTCTTGGAGATCTATTTGATGTAACTCTTTTTGCGGTGTGTTTGTCAAGATCCGATGAATTGTGGGTTTATGATCAAGTTTATCTATAAGAAATATTTGAATCTTCTCTGAATTTTTTTATGTATGATTGGTTATCTTTGCAAGTCTCTTTGAATTATCAGTTTGGTTTGGCCTACTAGATTGATCTTTCTTGCAATGGGAGAAGTGCTTAGCTTTGGGTTCAATCTTGCGGTGTCCTTTCCCAGTGATAGCAGGGGCAACAAGGCACGTATTGTATTGTTGCCATCGAGGATAAAAAGATGGGGTTTATATCATATTGCTTGAGTTTATCCATCGACATCCTGGCATATTGCTTAATGCGTTACTCTGTTCTT